GACTGTCTCGCACGGCGAGACAGTCAAGTCTGTCTCGCGTGCGAGACAGTAAAGACTTGTGTTCTTCTGCCTTTTTTGGATGATTTCCTCTTGAGCTGTATTTGGATATCTTTCAGCATTTTTTGACGCCTACACATGTACGACAAATAAGGATACCAAAACATGTGCGACGCATAAAGACACATGTGATTCACTACTGTTGGATACATAATCATAGCTGCTGATGGAAAATTTTCTGGGCTTCTGCATGTCGTAGCTTTGGAAATCAAGTTTTGAGAAAGGGTACAGAGAACTATCTGGAAGTAGGAATGCACATTAAAGTCATGACCAGCTGAATCCACCAATCATTAGTGACCCCTTTGGTTTCCACTAAGAAACTTTAGAGCCCACTTTTCTCGAAAACAGTGGCACCAAATCAGAATCATTTGGCTATCTCCATTACCTTTGTCAAAAGCATGTGGAAAGTAATGTTATGAGAATCTAATATATGCCCAATAACATCTGAAGGGTATGAAAGGTTTTAGCTCAAACTGGAGATGATGACAGCAAGTAGTTTCATAAACATCAATATCAAATCCTACACAGAAATCCTTATCTCTTGCGCAAACTGGAACTTAGGACATGTAAATGGCAGTAGGAGTTCCACCAATGAGAATTGCTTTTATCACCAAACGTATCAAGAAGAGAAAAATCACTCTAGTGAGTTATTGCACTCTAATAAAAATGTGAAAGTCTAGTGCATGCGTGAGTCATGCATTACTTCTTGTTGAGTCATGCATAACTTCTCGTCTAGTCATGCCTTTGTGCACCTGGTGTATATATTTGGGTACCTTTGCTGTTGTGCATTACGAGAGAGTAAAACTTCTACTTTACTTCCAGCTTGAAGTTTGAGAAGCATAAGAATGGCCCTTCAGTGGTTCCTTCAGGCGATTGGCACCAAGATGGTCAATTGCCCAAAAAGCGGTGAAGTTGAAAAATGGTTTCCATCAAAGTTATCGAAGGATATGAGGATTGTGAATCTTAGAGAGGCTGAAGGTACAAGTCATAGTAACCACAATGAGATTTATTGTTCAAGTGGTAGGGTGAATGGAGGTGGTACGTGGTGCGCTGGGTTTCAGATGCCACTGCATTACCCTCGATACAGGAAGGAGGATTATCAAAGGATGGAGGAGAGGAAAGTGGATATATTGCTCAGAGAGTATGGACTGGCATGTGTTGGCTCTCTTGAGGAGAAGAGGGCTTATGCTATGGGGGCATTTTTGTGGCCTGAACAAATTTAGGGGGAATGGAATTTCCCATTTAGCCTTTAGCTTTGTTTGTAGTTACGCATGCATTCAGGGTTAGTTTCTAATTAATAGTTAGCAGCGGGTGTATCAATCTTGGATCTCATCCATGTCATCTATACTCAATTTACTAGTTATCTAATGATTGAAGTTTTTCAAAAACATGTGTGCACTGTTGGCGCTCCTTTTTCAAAACTTGGACCTAGATTATCGTTTACCCCTTGGTTCATCTGGTCCTGCTCACATATGCATGCGCTGTATTCTATGTTAAATTGTTCATTGCAGAAGATTTTGTCGCTCCTAGCATCTTATTTACTGTTAGTCTGGATTTTGGTCTGGTTGAACATGGAACCTAATAAAGTGTAAGATTAGGGAATCAGGGATGGGGTTGAAGGCCTTTCTCCTAGGATAGGATGGTCCGCACGTTTTATGTCTGTATCTCTAAGTACATGTTTAGTTTTTGTTTATTAAGCTTTTGAGTTTTTGAGATTTATTACGTGCTATTAGCTTTATATGCGCTCATCCATTTTTGCGAGGTTGAAGTAACCATTAAGGAATATGGAGTCAAAAACCACTAGATTCTTCTTGCAAATGGCATATCTATCCTTAAATTCACGGGAGACCTGTGTCCCAAGTTAGTATCTAGCTTAGCTGATATTCTTCTCATCATTGTTATGCTGGTTGGAGATGGGAGGGTCAATCAAGGGCCAGCTAGCTTTGTTTATATTCTACGGGAAGTTAAATACCAGCATATTAGTTGCATCGGTAGCGTTATTGGGTGTCTTGGCGTTAGGATTTTATTTTGTCATGTAATAGAATAATTGGTTTATTCCTTTGGTAAAGTTGGGGGTTATGTTGATATATTTATGCTTCCAAGTATCTATTTATACAATTTAATTCGCAAGTGGTTGCTCGAAGAGTTAGATGAATAAAACTTCATAGGAACATTAGTTATAGCTAAAAATTGATGTTACATCTCCAACTTTCTCATGAGTGGATATCTTATTATTCTTCCTGTAAATAATAGTTCTTGCTCCTTTTGTTTTCCTGACCTGTGACTGTTTGTTCTTTAAACATTGCAGTCGGTTCATGATAAAATTGTTTATAATTGCTTGGTAGTAGATAGTTTCTATAGCTTGTATTGATCTAAATCTAGCTTCAAACTTCAACAGTGGGCTTGTACACAAGGTGTTTTGTTTGATGAAGTTTGAAACATAGTTAATGAACCATGCACCAAGCGTCTGCTTTATAATAAAATTTGAGTTGAATAAGTTGAATTTTTCACCAGTTTAGTGAAGATTATAGAGCCTCGTGTCGAGAAGGCCTTATTTAGTAATACGGTGAAGTTTATGTGTTTTGAAGGCAGAAGTCAGATGAATTTGGACTTACATCTAGCTCCCCAATTATAAGACACTATTGCTCCACAGCTTGATTTGATGAATTAGTTGTTCAGCTTGATTCAAATTGGGCTGTATGCAACTCATATTGCAGTAAATAGCATCCAAGCTTAGTCGTTCATTTTAATATGTCTGGCGCTGCTTGCTTCTCCAACTGCGCTTATTTTCGTGTTGTTTGCTGAAACAGGAGCCATCAGCTGATCATAGCTTCAAGCCTTATGATGTCGATACAAAGACACGAATGCTGGTATGTCAGTCATTAGCCTCTCTCATGCAATACAGTGACGCTATATTTTTAAAAATGTTCAACCAAGTAGTTGTTTTATCATTTTCTGTATGGTAGGAGTTAATCGTTGCTTAACTGAGAGAACGGTGAGCTTCAGTATGCTATAGTTTTCAACTCTATCAATTCAAACAGACTACTAATTGCACAAGAAAAGTGTACACTTCAACGATTCTGCATTATCAAAGCAAATAGTCCTCCAGCAAGTGTACACTATCAACCTCATCGAGGGTCAACCTTATGCAATTGTATTATTAGTTACAAAGTATAGACTTACAGAGTGATGCACCTACCGTTGCTATTGCTATTACTTTTTCTCTTTTGGAGTGAATAAAATCCTTTTAAAAGAAAACAATAGCTGGAAGAATGAGAACGGAACCCCCTGAGGAAACGGAGAGTGGCCTTATGGAAGAGGAGCTCAATGGACTAACCTGCATAACTAGTACAGAGCAAACACAGGATGACAACGAGCGAACTTGACACAAAACCTGAGTAGAGTTAAACAAGTAACGCATGCGATATCACAACAATCATAACTGAGCAGAGATTCTCATACGGTAGTAGGACTTAGAGAATTCAGTATTCCATCAATTGTGTTAAGGAGTAGGGACCCAAAATATGTAGCTATGCAACAAACAAACAAACAAACAAAAGCATGTTCTGGCTTCAATTTTCGTCCCATCTTTTGCTTTTATCTGATATCAAATGAGGGAATGGGGAGCCTTACATGTCTCATTTTGGACCATCCTTCACCAAACCCACCCAATCTGAGACTTGGAAATGCGTTTGAAGTTCTATTTCAATTCGTTGATGTCATTATCAACGAATCGAAATAGATTGAAGGCACCTCCTCCCTCCGCGTGTCCGTAACTGAGCGTTGTTTGCTCAGCGGACCTTGGAGAATCATGACGCTTTGTTTGTCTTTTATTTTGTTTTGGTTTGGGTCATGAAGCCCATCGATGGCCATGGAATCTTTTAGGGCCCATTCGTTTGGGGCCATATCTGTTCTCGTACAAAATGGCAGGGTGCCAGGGACATTGATGCATGGCGCACGAATGACTCTCAGGGGCTGTTTGTTTGCCTAAAAAAAGAGGGAAATCAAAGAAATAGAAAACCATTTCTAAGAAAAGTTGTTTTGGGAATGTTTGGTTGGCTTTAAAAAAAGAAGAAAATCAAAGAAATGGAGATGGGATGATGTTAGTTGTCACCTTATTATAGGATGATGTGAGTGATTTTTTAAGAAAATTTGTTTTGATGTTGTTTGGTTGGCGAAAAAAATAAGGAAATGAATTATAAGAAACATATTTCTTATAATAGGTTTTTTTTTTTGTTTGGTTCATTCTTAAAAATAAGAAAATAAATGAGATGAGATGAGTTGTCATTATATTATTAGATGATGTGACCCACACATAAGAAAATAGTTTTCCTAGCTTTTTGGGAGGAAATTGGTGGAAATAAAATGTTAATGAGATGAGATGAGTTGTCACCATCTTATTGGATGATGTGAGTGACTTGAAATGATGAGATGAGATGAGTTGAGTGATGTTGTGGATGAAAATAATATTTTATTAGATGTGGTGGATGAGTTGTTGGATGAAAATAATATTTTATTAGATGTGGTGGATACATTGTTGGATGAAAATATATTTTATTAGATGTTGTGGATGAGTTGTTGGATGAAAATAATATTTTATTGGATGTTGGGGGTGAATTTTAGGGATGGAAATGAATGAAATTGTTCTTTTTGAGATCAACCAAACAGACCCTTAAAAAAGAATTGTTCTAAAAGGAAAATATTGCATCAGAAAATGGATTCGTACATGGAGTAGAATAGTGACTTGTACGGGAGCTAGTGTGTTCCCTTCGTGGTTTGATTGGCGACACAGTTACTAATTTGTACGATAACTACGCGGTAAGTTCAATGAGATGGGATTTGAATTTTGAATAGAGACGACTCTTGTACAACACGATCATTTTTCGTCGCGTCGTTCATAAAGTTTTAAGTTGATGGACACATTTGTCCAATCTTTTGCTACACAATCTTTCGTCACGCGAGGGATGTTCACGAGTCATGGATTTGGAGGATGTTTTATTTGTAACTCGAAATTCTGAATTGATTCAGATTGTGAGGTCTGAATTTTATTTATTATTTATTTTTATTTTTATTTTTTTGTAAAAACCAAGACCATCCTCATTATATTCAAACCCAGTAGAGTTTGATTGGATCCCACTAATGTATTAGATTCTAGTTTCATGTGTCTAATGCGCATTGACCGAACACTATTCTTTGATCAACGTCCCCACATCCTCGATACAATCATTTCAGTCATTCGATATTTATGCGAATAAAGGGGACCAGGCTACCTAATTGCCTACCCTTTCTCTACCATCGTTTAGACCGAAATGTATAAAGTATCAGAGACATCAATTCACTTGTTTATTTGCTATTCCTTGGTAATGATTTGAGAGCTTGTTGATCTTAAGGTATTCGAATGTAGATGGTCCCAAGCACCAGAATAAGCTAGGTAGGGGCAAGCAATAATTTTGTAAGTGGGCCTTCACTTTATGCAATTGGTAGCAGCTCCAAATGAGCTTTGTCTAGAAGTGATGAGCTATTTTCTCCATTTCTGCAATAGATTAACTTGAATTGTTTACCTTTTTCTTTCTGTAAATAATTAATTTGAAGAAAGATGTTTGTAGAAAAGGACAAAAGATCACAAGCGAGGAGGGACAACCGTCATGATGAAGAGGAAGAAGCTTCCATGAGGTACGTGGCTTCTGGTAACATTATGAATGAATTCTAATGACTGCATAATGGCACATTACAGTTTCAAAACCCTTCACTAATATATATATAAGAAGCTCAAGTCCACAATTTGCTATAAAATCAGTGGCATACAACTTCAGCTGAAATTGCCATATTTGTAATTTTTTTCCCCCTTGCTATTGTCAATAAGATTTGGTTTGGTAGGAGCCTAGGAGGGGAAGCAGAGTGAGGTGTTAGAATTTCTGAGGGTTTCAAGATAAAGAGATTAGGTGGTGTGAGGGGAGGGAAAATGTACATAACTCCCTGTTTGGATGGAGGGTAGAGAAGGTAAGTGGAAGGGAAATTTTGGTTTACATTTGTTTGGGAGTTCAATTTAGAAGGATAGAGAAAAAAAATGAGTGGAAAATTAAACTAAAATCTTGCCCTCCAAATCGGGGGATAAAAGAAGGGAAAGCGAAGGAAGGGATAAAAGTCTGCATACTCTCTCTCTGGCACTTTATTTCCCCTCCCCTTCCCTTGCCACACCTTATCTTTTGCAATCTATGTGTGTACCTAATATACATTTTAAGCAAAGGATCCCATGCATCGTGTCCCCTCTAATATCTTTTCAAGTCTACAACGTGTATGGCTTGAATAACGAAATTTAATTTTTCTTACTAAATGAGGAAGACATGATATCTCAGCGTATATGAAAGAGTGGGGATTGACTGCTCTAAAAGATTCAAACCGTACAAGCTGAGATACAGGCTTCAGTCGAGGTAAGCAAACCGTGCGGTACCAAGATTTCCCCTTTTCGATGGATAGGACTCGCCAACAGCAAGCTGGCTCCAACCTGGCAATAATTGCTAAGGTTTGGACCGCACCAAAAGATTACTAGGCTCTATGGCAACTTTGTCAACCGCCGATGATGATAATCAAACATTAACACCGCTTGAACCAAGTTTTACTTGTTAGAGCATCTCCAACAGCTTCTCTATTTCTCACTTTTGGAGAATTTAGTTAGTTTTTTGGTCCAACAGATTCTCCATCTCATTCTCCAAAATAAGGATGAAGGAGGAAAAATAGGGAAGCTTCCCCAAATCTGCAGCATTCTCCAAATTTTGGAGGAAAAAAGTGATTCTTCAAAATAGGGAAGTTGTTGGAGTTGGTGTAAAAATTAGTTAGAGAATATAACTTTTGCTTTCTCATTTTGAAAAAAATTTTAGAGAAGCTGTTGGAGATGCCATTATATTACTTGACGAGGCTACTTGTTTCAAAGAAACCAATCCCGTTCATATACCCACATGGATTTGATGTTGTGAATAGAGGAGGCAAACGAGCGAGAGCTAGCTTACAAAAAAAGCATGGGCCATGTTATTTATTATCGCGGCCCCTATTCGTTTGTTCCCTTTTCATGTCAAAGCAAAGTATGGAGAGCCTTAAGCTCAGCTGTCTCATTTTGAAGGTTCATGTCAAAGCAAAGTATGGAGAGCCTTAAGCTCAGCTGTCTCATTTTGAAGGAAAATGATAGGAGCACACCCCCAACCACAATCTCACCCAAACCCCAACCCATTTTGAACGCTCCTTCACCTAACACAACACCAACTTTCTTGAGAACTGCGTCCTCGTCTTTATGCTGGCTTTAATCCGTGCTTCAGAATGCAGAGCGCTTCAACAAAGTTATTGAGTAAGTAAAGATTTTGAAACTTTGTAAACAATTTTAAAATAAGCTTCGTGTCGGCAAATTCCCCGCGTGTTCTTATCCAAATGGTGCCCCGAGTCCTCTCTTCGCCCTACATGATATTTACAGCTGTTTTCTTGATTTGAAGTAGTATCGTGTTCGTGAACCTGACGAAAGAAACAAAAGGTACGACGACCACCTCTACTAGTCTAGAAGAGCAGGAAGAGGGGATTCGGGCTCCTCTTGTTTTGTCTCTATCCTTTTGTCTTTTTAAAATTGGGCTCATTATTGTAGAACCTATTGGGCCCACAGGAGCGGGTTGGGGGCCCACTGTTGTGGACCCGGTCCTTACCACCACAGCTTGGCACGCCAACTTTTAAGCAGAGCCGCACGAGGGGTCGATGCTCCGGCTGACTTGCCCGTGGCCAGGCTGAATTGTTAATTTTGGAGCATTTGTTGCCAAACCACGTAAAAGGCAAAGCCTTGATGTTTCACCGAACACCGGGAGTACAAAGACTATTCTAGCTCATCAGTGTTTCGCTGGGGTTTGACTTATTTTACAATGGACAACTACTGTATTATCCACTGTATTATCCATAGACATAAGACCTCTTGATCCACATAGAGGAGCAACCAAACTGATCTTATTTTGGTCCAAGAAAGAGGTGAACCAAAACCAAGTTTTAGAGCCAATTTTGACCTTAGGCATATGCTTTTTTAGAGGGGGTAACTCCAACCACCTCCTCTATATGAAGCTCTATTTGCATTTTTAATTGATTTCTTTTATTAATACTTTAAATAGATTTGAAAATATAAAAAATATAAAATATTAAAAAATTATATGAATTAATTTAAAATATAAAATATATTATAAATTAATACTAAAAGTATAATATATAATATACTCATTATTTAAATAAAAGTAATTATCTTTAATAAATTGATAAAAGTATAATATATAATATACTCATTATATAAAATATATTTAAATAAAAGTATAATTAATACTGAACGATTCCAACGGTTTCTTGCTCGACATAAGAGGTTGAAAAACAAAGAAGCTCATTTTGCACTTCGAAATGCATTGATTGAACATTTGTGGGAAAGACATGGAAATGAAGCTATGTAATTTTTTTTACTAATAAAATAATGACTTTTTCAATTTTAATTACTTGGTTCTTGAAATTTTATATTTCAATTAATATTATTCAATATTAGTCTCATTTTGAAGGTATCAACAAAACATTTTCAACTGTAAAATTTTTATTTAAAAATAATTAGTAGAAATAAACTTATGTTGATTTTAAGTTGAATATCTAAAAATAATTAGTTAGTTAGAAGGGTATTATTGTAAATTTTGGGGGGAATAGTGGTTTGGAGGGGGGCTGCATATTTGGAGCAAAAGCTCCAAATATGCAGCCGAAGATTATTTTTTCCAGCCGGACTCCAAAAATTGGAGTCCGGTTGGAGCTCCATGGGGCTGCAAAATGGAGTTTTGCAGCCCCATTGGAGTTGCTCTTACACAACTAAACTCTGTTACGCATCTTGCAACTTCTAACGTTGGACTTCACTGCCTTCTCTTACGCAAACAAACCAGGGTATATACCCGCAAATCAGGGTAAAGTATAAAGAGTTAGAGTGCTAATTAGCCCCCACTCTCTCCCAAGTCAACGCTCAAGCCCTCGCTCCCCCCTGCGACTCTCGCCATGGAACTGAACCAATCTCCCCCCAGACTAAACCTCACTCTTCTCTTCTTCTTCCTCCTCCTCTCCTCACTCCAAGCCACCACCGACACCAACATCTGCATCGTCGGCAGCGGCATCGCCGGCTCCTCTCTCGCCCATTTCATCAAACACTTCACCTGCACCGACCCCCAGAACCCTAACCCTGGCTCCTGCTCATGGATCGACGACATCCGCATCTTCGAGCGCCGTGCAGTCCCGGGCGGCCGCATGGCCACCGTCACCATCGCCGGCGACACGTTCGAGGCCGGGGGCTCCATCATCCACCCCAAGAACTTCCACGCTTTGAGATTCGCGTCGATGCTGAACCTCTCCCATTCGCCTGAGTCCGATGAGGAGTCGGATTCTTGGTTCGGGATTTGGGATGGGTCTCGTTTCGTCTTCAAAACCCTGCAGCCGCCTCCGAGCTGGAGCTCGTTTGTTGTTAAGAAGATTTACTCCTTGTTGAATTCTTTGCTGCTGTTTCGGCGATATGGGTTTTCTCTGATTCGGATGAATGGGTTTGTTCAGGTTGGGTTTCGAGCTAGATTTAACAATTTTTACGAGTAAAGGACTTCTTATTGATTGCAGGTTGTGTGCATTTTTTTTTTTTTTTGGGTGGAATAGGGAATGCTGGATAGATTCTTGCTTTATTACAAAGGATTTGAGGCGAGGCCCGTGTTTGAGACGGTGGACGAGATGCTCAAGTGGTCGGGGTTGTATGACCTCACTCGCCGGACTTTGGGGGAGGAGTTGATCGATGCTGGGCTTTCTTCGCACTTGATATCGGAGCTTGTTACTGTGAGATATAGGTTTTTTTATATAGAAAGTGTTCAGCTAATTTTGATTTATAAGTGAATTTGATTTGAGTGCGTTCAGGATTCTATTGTTTATATACCTTTCTGACATCCATTCCTTCTTAATATTACATCCAGGGATAGAGTGTCAAGAGAGAAGAGAAAAGCTTTGCATATGGTTCTCGTTGATTTAGAGGAAAAAATTATGAGAGTGTCAAGAGAGATAATGTGTTGGGTTTTGGAAAAGAAGGGTATCTAATATGTATATATGTGATTGATAATGTATATGATAGAGTAACAACTAGGGTGAGGTCGAGGAGAGAGAAAATTTTATATCCTATTATCGTAGTTTTAATCAAGGATCCAATTTAAGCCCTCATTGTTTTTGCATTAATTATGGACAACTTGTTAGACATATCCAAGACGAAGTCCCATGACGCACGTTATTTGTCAATGATGTAGTATTGGTTGACGAGATTGGGGAAGAGATCATTTCTAAAATAAAAAGATGGAGAAAGAAGCCCTTGAATCTTAACAATTTAAATTACTAGAACAAAAGTAGTTTCTAAGAGAACTGTAAAGAGAAATGAATATAATACATATTGACGGTCAAGAAATACCTGAGAGTAATTGCTTTCATTATTAATGGCGCCCCTTGGTGAATTAACGGACAAGTATGAATTCAGTCCTTACCATAAGAAATATTCAACATCTTGCAGCAGCGTGTCGAATTTAATACCTAGATTAACAGATATACTTTTCGTTCTTTGCATGTTGAGCAGTCTTTCGGAAGATTTTTTTTCTAATTATTTTCCTTAGGTTATCTTCAATCTCTTGATGGGTTCTGCCATATGTTGCTAGATTTCTGGACATACAAAAACTAAAAGTCTTTTTACAGATTGCTTTCTTGGAGACACTCCTAATTGACTTGTCAAGTATCAGCAGCTTGATCCTTATACCTATGTATCAATCCCTCCTGACCTTGTGATTTAACATGTAATATCTACTAATCATTAACTATTTCCTATTCATATCTGTCCCTACAGAATCTATATCTCTATTTCCTTTCTCAGTAAATGGCAATGTAGTTTATGTCATAGTGTTAATGTTGTCTCTTTTTTTTTCCTTTTCGTTTTTTCCCCCTTGCAACCATTGTTAGAAAGAAATAAGAAGAGTCATTTATATAAATTTGAATTTGCATTTATGTCAACTCATAAGTATCTTTATGGAGGAAGCTATTGACAGCATCGTAGCTGTAGTTCTAGCTCATGTTCTTCTACCTCATTTCTTCGGTTCTGGTTTTTCTGCATGTACGTATATCTCAAAGGCCTACATTTGTAGCTCGTAGAGCATCGAAAAAGATTTGGAGTCTTTCTAGCATAAGCTTGTTTGCTTGTAATTTCTAATGTTTGCCTTTTAATTCCAAGAGTTCCTTATGGTGTTTGGTAGTAGAAATTTCTAATGATTTGTTTTACCTGATCCCGTGGAGCTTATTATTTGTTCAGGTGCCATGATATTGAGTTATAATAATGGGAGCTCATCTTAATAAGAAAAATACAGAGGACTATAGTATGATATTGTTAACCTTTAAAACAACCAAATAAGTTGTTGAATTGCCATTGAGCTCAAGTGCAATGCAAATAAATTATTATCAAGGGCAGTATTTTGTGTGCTGTCCTATGGTTACTGAAGAAATTGTTGCATTTGTGTCAACCTGCATTCATAACGAAAAATCCTTGTCACTCGTTACACCTTGGGTCAATCTCCATAACTAGTACCATGACATTCGATTTTATGCAGTTAGATAATACATTGTTATCCAACAAGGTAGATCTTTGTATTGATTCGAGATATGACGGATGTTCTTTTTCTACTGATTAGTCCTCAGACTCCAATGTGTACTGTACCTAAAATTCTCTGTGTGCATTTTCCCAGGTGGTAACAAGAATTAACTATGGACAGAGTGTTAGTATCAGTGGATTAGCTGGGGCAGTCTCTTTGGCTGGTTCTGATTCAGGACTGTGGTCAGTTGATGGGGGAAACTGGAAGCTTGCTGCTGGGCTTATTAATTATTCTGGAGCCAAACTTCATCTCAATGAAGAGATAAATTCTATTTCCCATGAGGGAGTTCACTATGTGCTAAACTCCAGCAAGGGAAATAGTTACAAATGTGAGGTTACTGTAATTGCTACACCTCTTGATGAGCTGAGCATCGCATTTACCCCATCAATTTCACTTCCTAACAGGAGATTACATCATACGTACACAACATTTGTCAGGGGCCTCTTGAACTTTGTGAGTACCTTTTGTACTAGTTTGCATCATGTGTTGTTACTATCTAGTCCTCTCTGTCCCAGTGCAAGAATCCTTGTTTATGTGGAGCATGTTTGACAATCGGTAAGTAAATGCAAAGTGGGCGGGATATTGGAAACTGACTCCATTTTCTTTTTCTTTTTTTCCCATGTTGACAGATAGAAATTGATTCCAGAAGTGATTGGAAAATGGATGGTGCCATATCAGGAATTTAATCATTTTCACAAGCATTTTGAGGAAGCGAAAGTAAACTGAACATCTAGAGAGAAACTAGTTATTTTACTCTCTTCTTATCAGTTAGTTTAAATTGTTCACATTCGACTGTCCACTTTCCATGGCAACCGGACGGAACACAAGAAAGTGACTGCTACATTACTTGCCACCTTGATTTTTCATCCTTTTCACTTTCTATCATTTAAAAAAGGTTACGCAAGTAGAAAGTAATGATAAAGTACTTTTTCTTAAATCTTAAGTTTTCATTTGTGTTACTGTTGCCAAACACCTTACAAAAGAAGTTGATGGGTGCACCCTCTAGTTTCCGTTTACTTTCCCTGGACTTTCCAGATACCAAACGAGGAAAGAAAATAGGAAGTGACCACTTTCCTATGGTCCACGTTCCATTTTGTTTTTGATTGGTAAACATGCCCTTTAGTCGTATTTTTTATAGGAGACAAATTGTGAAGATTATTACTCCTAAACTCTATGGAACTATGCTTAGCATATTCTAGCAATAGTAGGCTGATCCTAAACTTTGATGTTGATAGGAATATTTTGGCTTCAAGCATGCATCAGAAATTCCTGCCCTCATTGGAACCCTTGAAGTCCCTGACGTTCCATTCTCCAGTATTTCAATACTCAAGAAATACGATGAAGAAGACATGACTTATAAGATGTTCTCTCGTGGACCAGCGGATGATAGCTTGTTAGATCAACTCTTCAGGTAAATTTTTATTTTTTAACCGAATGCGACTGTAATAATTATTATGAGAGTAATGCTTAAACTATTAAGTTGTCAATGTTTTAACAGCGTTAGGAAGGAGACTGTGCGCATAGATTGGCCAGCATATCCTCATTTCAAAGCTCCAGAAGTGTTTGCACCGATTCTTCTTGATGATAGACATTTGTACTACATAAATTCATTTGAGAACGCAGCGAGTACAATAGAGACCAGCGCAGTTGCAGCTGAGAATGTTGCGCGGTTAATTATCTCAAGATTGGAGAAATTGGCTTCTGGTTCACCAACTATAAAGATTCCAGCTTCTAATGATGAGATTTTGCATCTTGATTTATGAGAGATTAGTATGGAATCAGCCATTGTTATTAGAGGGGCGGTTGTATCACCCACCTCCAGTGGTTGCAGGACTCTCAGACTGAAATTGTCGGTGTTTGTATCTTATATGTATTAGAAAGTGATAAAACACACAGATGTTCAACGTGTATACACGAATAAAACCAGTAAACATGATGGGCGCTCGTAGCGTTGAGCAAGACGGCAAACCATAGAGCGAATTTGATAGATCCGTGATGTGCACTTTCTTTTTAACAGGCTCAAGCAAAATTAGCGGACGCTGCGGCATGAAAGTATGCGAGTGAAATCCGAATTTGAGTAGTTTTCAACATTTAACGGATTCCAAGAGATGTCAAAACGAGATCACAGCTGGAAAGCTACGAATTAATGTTCAGAATAAATGATGTTTCGGCCAAAAGCATGGGCAATGAGCGATGCTAGAGGAAATGAACTTTGTGCTTTCTCTTCTGCAGCAACCTTGAGCTCTCTTCCGTCAACACATTCTGCTGTTTTCCCTACTCTTTGTGAGAGAAATCATGCAATAAAACTTTTTAAGTCAATTTTATATAACTTAATCTCAGTTTCATTTTCTTTTCATCTTGGAAAA